CAGTAAATAAGTATCAATAAATGGTGTGGAGGAGGAAAAATCTCAACCACGTTACCTCCTATCTATCAAACAAATAAATCCAAATCCAAACTGACGATAACTAATTGAGGCAATCTGGATTTAGCAATTCCAGAATAGTCAGTTATTTACTTAAACAAAAGAATCAGTTCTCTTTAGGTCACGATCAGATAACGACACCCCCTCACATTGCTGGCCAGATGCCGGTCATGCCCAACTGATTACAAGTGAATCAAACTTACATTTAGGCAAAGTTCTGGTTAGGACATCAGTTGTATGTTGCATTGTATGCATAAAATGAAATGCAAATTTTCTGCTGTCCAGATCTCCTTAATAAAATTCCCATCAATCTCAACGTGCTCCATGTGATCATGGAGTGCCAGTTGTGGGCAGTATTCAATGCTGCCTTATATCACAAAATGATTCCTTAGGATAATCCAAGTTTAGCTTCAGTTCTTTAAAGACTTAATGCAGCCCAACTTATTCACACTCCATGAGCCATAGTACAGAATTCGTCCCTACACAATTTCATGCCCCAAAATCCTTTTTTTTTTTTTTGGCTCATCCGAGTTATTAAATTCCCCAAAAGATGCGCAATATCCCGAGGTACGACTTCAATATACAATTGAGCCCACCCAATCAGCATTTATATATACTTCTAAGATATGATAAACAGCCTCCTCATGTTCTTTGATATGTGAGGGCATGAATTGACTCACACACTCACTATAGCTATTCAGCTCATGTTCTCACTGCACCATGAATTTTGAAGTTGTAGAATTCACCATGCTGTTATCTTCCCTGAGCTGAAAACCACGTATCTTTCGCTCATTTCCCGATTGAGGGTAATTTACAAGAAAAATTGAAACATGAAGCACAAGATAATCACTAATCCTTTTAGAGCAATTGCTGAAAGAGAACCATCAGTTATTTCACATTTCTAATTTCCTGCATACGGAGTACAAGACGAGAGTAACATTCATATGATCAGTTGCCTTCAATTAGAAAGCGCAGAAGCATTGACAAAACATATTTCTTTATGCAAAAGAGCCAAAAAAAAAAAAAGTGTATAAAAGCAATAACGAATTACGTGACAACTGATAAGTGATTAAACAGCCAAAATACCTTTCAATTAAATAACAGAATAAAATGTTTCTTATTTCTCTCAGAGTGCAAATCCAACGAGGGAGGTGAAGGAGCATATAAGGTAAACTACAAATGTACAGATGGCCAACGTTTGCAGATCATGATTGTGAGTCAAAAACACATCCATTCAGGAGTTGTAGCTGATAAGATTATGAATGGGAACATTATATCATCAGGGTAGTTCCATTTGCGGGGGAATAAAGTATTTCTTCTTGCCATAGTTATTTAGTAATATCCACACAAGATGCTATTTATTTTTATGAGAATCCAGCCCATACATGACAATGAGTAATGCTACATGAAGTGAATTCAAAACATGAAAGCTAATTACAAAAGTTGTGTTCCCATCATCAGTTGGAGATGGAACAGGCCAAACTGCTATTTACGTGAACCAAGCTATAACCTGAAGCAAATATTCAAATTAGCATCTAAAGTGCAAACTCCAACAGATCATGAGCAGATCTCTGACTCTTCCTCTGCTCATAATCGGGATCATCAGTGGGTAGTTCATACCGACAAACAGGGCATGTATTACGAATGCTCAGCCATGGCATAATGCACTCCCCATGGTAAAAGTGTGAGCAGGGAAGCCTTCTCACTTTTCCTTCCATATGATTTCATCTTTGCAAACAGCACACGCCACATTCTCCCCCACCAAGTCCTCCTCTGTTAATTCTACTAGAGGAAGATTCTCCACGACACTTTTTGCGGCAGGAGGACTTCCCTTTAAGGAACTCTCATTTTCCAGGAATTGCCCAAAAAACATATCATACTCAGTTGTATTCATATAACCATCATCCTGAACCGTTAAGAAGGAACCTGCAGTAGCGCCATTTTCAACGCTTGAATTCCTCTCTAAGTTGTTGACCGCTAACAGAATTTCCCATTCAAGGTATCTCAATGCCTCTTCACCCGACTCCTCTCCATAGGAAAATCCAGATGCTACTGATTGATCATCAACCTCACCAATCACCACACTCAAGTCTTCTCCATCATTGACTCTTTCCTCTAAATCCTCCCACTCAAAATGTTCATTGAGGGTCCTCTGGTCCTCCAAGCAAAGGCTGTCCCAATAAAAATGAACATCAAAATCGTCAAAGCCATTGATTCTATTGCCATCATTTTCACCAGAACTGAATTCTATAGCCCTGTCAAGCTCTTCATCGGTATTAGAATCCGACTCAGAACTAAACCCGACAATTCGAAGGCCATCCGCGTGCGAACGAACCCTTTCAGAGCCCGATGTCTCGCCTACTGCAGAAATCCCATCATTTTTTTCCGTTCCAGATCCAGACCCTAGTTCCTTCTCCGCATAACTTGACCCTTCTCCACCGTGACTATCGCAAGGAACGGCCGAAAACGGATTAATATCAGAATTATCGTTACAGCGACGGTAAAAGTTCTCCGACGAGCGATTTTCAAAAAGATCTGTAACAAAGCAACTCACCGAATCGGAGTCCGAATCGGAGTACCAGTTCGAATGGTTGCTCAAATGGTCGAAGGACACGGTTGCAAAGGGGTTGGAGGAGTCGGTGCACCAATGATCGCGGGCAGCCGATGATGGGAGATCAGATGCCTGTTCATCGGGGCCAGATTCTTCAAATTCATCTTCGAGGGAAAAGAGGGGCGGAAGTTGAATGTTATTAGCCATGGTTGAACAGATATTCGGAAAAGACTGAACCCCAACTTGGCTGGATCTATCGAACAAATCAACGAACCTTCTGAACTCCACACCGCAATGGGTTCTTGGAATTCGACCTGTCAAGTTTCACTGGGCCACGAGGAAAATCCTACGATTTTTCTTCCTTTCGCGGAGCATCAATTTTCTTTTTCCGATTCTCGCTAGGGGAAAAAAGCAGGGTCTCAGAAGAAGTCATGATTATTTATTTTAGAATTCATTATTATGGACTAATCAAATTATTATTAAAATCTTTTAATAATTATTTTTTAAAATTTGATTATAATTCTCCTAAAAAAGTACGAAAAACAAGAGAGAGGGGTCACATATAAACGAAAAAAATAATATTTCCTGAGGGACAAATTTTCCAAAGCAATGGCTGCACTCGAGTCCACAAGATCAAAATGAAGACAGCATTGTGAATTCTTCAAAAATAAACAATTATATATTATAATAATAAAAATAAAAATTGTTGGCAAAAATTATAAAAATGAATGAGATCATGCACAGCGTTAATGCTACCACCCATCTGACAATTATTTAAAAGAAAATTACAATAAAGTCTCGTATAAGAGAATTAAATACGCAAAAGTCTCTTAAAATCATCAAATTATTCTAAAGTTTTAAAAGACCTCACTGCAATATATTTTATTTATTTAATTACCAAATTGTCCTTTTTTTTTTTAAAGTATGCATTAAAAACTGAAAATGTAGTTATTAATAACTTAAGGTGTAACAATTAACAGTTATCGCGGCAGATATTAACAACTCATGCATTATATTTTTGTAATACGTTGAGATATGTGTTGTTAATAACTACCGTGATAGTTATTAATCATTACACTTGAAATTGTTAACAACTGCTCTTTCAATTGTCAAATGCATACTTAAAAAAAAAACATAAGTGTAATTTGATAATTTAACAAATAAAATCTCTTATAATGAGGTTCTTTAAGATTTCAAAATAATTTGACGATTTTAAATAACTTTTTTGTATTTAATTCTCTTAGGTGGGACCTTATTATAATTTTTTCATTATTTGATTTTAATTAAACAAAATCTTCTCCTCCATTCTTGAGAAGACTATTAAACACCGTACGAAGATCAATTCTTAAAATATTAAGAATTCGTAGGAAAAAGTTGTGTGGAATGGAACTTGCAAGATCAGCTGTTCTTCTATTCCTTGTTTGAGTAGGTGAGAGGGTAGGGGATGTATAATTTAGTAAGTGATAATTATATGGAAAGTTAAATAACTTAAATTAATTAGTAGTGTCCGACTAAAAATATTAACTAGTAGTGTAACAAGAGTGGTGTCCAAAAATCAAATATCATACTGCCTCCTATTTTTAATATAAGAACTAGTTGACTAATTTAAGTAGATTAAGAAAATTAGTTAAGTTAGTTATTTGTAATAAATATGCATTATCTTGCCTAAAATACTCTCATACATTAAGTGTTATTTGATTAAATATTTAACATATGTAACTATTACAAGAACTATCATTAAAAAAATAGATAAATATGTAAGACAAAATGAATCAGAGTACTTCCTCTTACTTTAAATATAAAAACTAGTTGACTAATTTGAATACATTAAAAAAAATAAATTATTTATTTATAATAAATAAAGGTTATCTTTTCTAAAATATCTTGTTATTTAAGTTTATTAGCTTGAACCACTATCATTAGAAAACTATCTTAAAAAAATTAAATATAAAAAACAAAATAGATTAAAGTCTTATATTTAAAATCAAAATAAAATTCAAACAAGATCTTATATTAAAGATTGTAGGTTGTATTATGTTTAAAACTAAATTAAAAGTCAGACGAGCTCTTATATTAAGAATTAAAAGTAATACTCCTCCGGTCCTAATTATAAGACCCAATTGACTTATTTGAGGAGATTAAGAAAGTAAGTTAAGTTGGTTATTTATAATAAATAAGTGTTGTTATTCCTAAAATATCCTTGCTAATTAAGTATATTAGCTAAAACTATCATTATTAGAAGGATTATCTTGAAAAAAAAATGCATAAATATAAAAGAGAAAATAGATCGGGTCTTATAATTAGGATCAAATAAAAAATCAAATTGGGTCTTATAATAAGGACAGGAGGAGTATTTGACAATTCATAGAATTCAGTTCCAGCTCCAATACGCCCGACGCAGAAAAGTCAACTCAGGATGTCAATTATTAAGGGGGAAAATCCGATGACATGGATCAACCGGTATGACTTGCAAGGAAGGTGTCTGTTTCTGCTTTCCGGCAATCATTTAAAGGATCGCAGTTTTCAGCAAGTTCATTCCAAACTAGAACCATCCAAAAACCGGAAAAAGTAGAAAAATCTTGATCACTCGATGGGGAAAAAAACGAAGAGCAGGGAAAACCAACCCCCTCTCCCGGGGGGGGGGGGGGGTGGTATTTGGAACCAGAAGTCCCATGTCTTCCTGCTTCCTTGCCCCACAAACATGCTTTACATTTAAAAATTAAAAACTATAATTCCTGATAACAATGTACTTTTAATGACTGAAATCAAAATTCTTGTCCTTCAACAGCAAAAAAGCCACGGCTGAAACCAGTGAGACAAGTATTGCTATGAGCAAGTGCTTAAGACTAAGAACTCCCGCATCTGTCCTCCTCACAGTGCCAATGTCAGGCATGCGCTCCGCAGGCTTCATTTCGTTCTCCTCAGATGATAAATTCTGTCCATTCATGTCCTCCTGCAGAAAGAAAAACAGAGACGTAAGTTCAGTAGGATGATCCATTTCGCGGGATTAAAATTCTAACCAGAACCTAGTACACAAGTACTAAAATCCTCTTACGTTCAGCCCAAGATAACATGATGCAAACATACTAAACCCCGGAAAAGATAAAGTTGACATAGCCCAAAATTAGGGGAAAGAAGTTAATAATTAAAATAGTTTATAACAAAAACCTGGTATGCACTACCGCACGGCTCAATAGCTCATCCAATAACCAGAGATAGACTTTTTCCTCACATGTACAAGTATTTATTCCAATAAACATGTTGCACCAGTGCATCTTAAACCAAGAAGTTTATCTTTTTATCGGGGTAAAGATATATTCATATAGAAAAATGGGCAGTGACGGATCATTTTGCATATAAGCCAGGAACATCCCGTAAATAAGGAGAATACATATAGCAACTTAAAATCACATATTCATGAACCGCCATCAGATATAACTAATATAAAACTTCCTGCAGATATAATCATTCACAGCAGCCCCAAATTACTGAATTGTTGTAATTCAGATACAAAACAATAGTGAAGCGGGACTAACGACCAAATCACACCATTGATCAATTATTGCTAGAAAGCAAGAACGGACGGCATCTTTGTCATCAAGCATGATTGAATGTTCATAGATAGCGAACTATTATCCACATAAACAACTAAGGTTATTAATAATTCCTATCCATTAGTCAGTAGTATATGTAAACCCGCACCCCTCCACCCCTGACCAAAATATAAAAAAGTCAACAGAGTCCGAAATACCAACCTTATGAGAAGTGACAGGAGTCTCACAAACATCTTCCTTGATTTCTCCAGCAGACGAACCACTTTCTCTGTTAGATTCATTAGTATCTAGAGGAGGACCCTTATATATCTTCTCTAGCTTTACTACCAAAATTTTGTTTTCAAATGCCAAGGAAGATATCTGCGGATGAAACATACAAGGTTTTCAACAAGAATGGCACAAAAAGCCAATAAAAAAAGCCTTTTAAAGAGCTAAGCTTTTTATAGCAAAAACTCTTCCCTTTTTAAAGAAGCCAACCAAAATCTTCCAACAAGAGGTGCAAAATTAAAAGAGAAATAGAAAATGGTGATGCCCAGTCAATTGTCATTCAAAAATGGAACGAAGAAACAATGTGTCCTCCCCCATATAATTTCGTCACCAAAACTCCTGTTATCATAATATGCAGATCAATTCAGACTATTAAAATATCAGTAATTTCTCTGTTGATTAGTGAACAAATATAAGAAATGAACAATCAAATGTCCCCCGGGGGGGGGGGGGAGGGAAGCAACCACATGTAAACATACTGACACCAAAAGTTGCAAGAGAACTCTACACTTCAACATTTGACAATATGCAGATAAATTTAGACAAATCCAAGTATCGCTTTAAAAAAACACCAAATAAATACTGCACTAATGCATTTTGGCATCCTGGCCTTTGAAAGCAGTAACTACTACCATTCGCATAGATAGAATAATGTAGGCAGGTATATTACAAAAATCAGGCAGACATCCTAACTTCCTAACTGTGCTATTGACTGGTGCATAGAGATAAACTACATCTGAAAGTTGGCAAAATGTTAACAAATCAAAAGTGGATGATAAAAAGGTACACTTTTTTCGTTAAAGCAGCACAATGAGGGACTTTCCAAAAGCTGGCCAAAGCCCCATCCTCATATAAACTCACCCAAGTATGGAAGATCATTAAAGTTTTATAACTTGTGACCTGAAAGACAAGTTAACAGACTTAACATATACCTGCTTATTAAGACGCTCTCTCTCTACAGCCAACTGAGTGACCAAAGTTTTAAAGTTCATGATGTGCATGCCAATGTCTTTCACTGTGGCCATTTTAGTTTTTTCCACCTGATGCAGAGTTTCCTCCAGACATACACATCTACTCCTCAAAAAACTTAACTCCTCATTTAACTCGGCATTAGATTCAGATAATACAATACATTTCTCCTCTGCACTGTCAGCCCGACTTTCAAATTTATAAACATTTGACTTAAGATCCTTAATCACATTTTTCATATCCTCAATTGTAGAATATAACATATTTTGTTTCTCCTGACTAGCTTCAGCAGATGCTATTGCGTGCTGCAACTGCAGATCAGATTCTTTAAGCCGCCTCTCCAGCAATTCCACCTTCTTAGTGGCAGCGCCACCCTCTTTCAAAAAGGCCAGCTCTTCATTGAGTTTAGTATTATTGTCTGCCAATAATTTATACTCAGCTTCTGCACTATTAGCCCTACTTTCTGCCTTGGATGCATTTTCTTTCAGTTCTACAATAAGATTTTCCATATCTCGTACATCAGAACACAAAACATTATATAGCTTCTGATATTCATCAGCAGAAGCCTCTGTGTTCAGTAGTTGAAGTTCAGATTCTTTTAGCTGCTTCTCGAGTGAATTCACCTTTTCACTTACAGTGGAGTCCTCTGAATTAGCAAGATCAAGTTTAGCTCTGAGATCGGATTCACGCTGAGCTAAACCATTCAGATTGAACTGAGAAATCTGGATTCTACCAAGTAAGTCTCTTGAAATCCCCATCAGGATCTGATTTGCACCATCTGCCTCAAACCACCTTTCCCACGCATCAGTTGCTTCTTCCTCCGCATAAACTAGCTCCTGTTCTAAAGATGATATCCTTAGTCTTAGCTCTTCTTGAATTTGCAGGGAGTCATTCAAATTTTTCTCAAGATCTATTTCCCTTGCCAAGGATTTCTCTAGCATCCTTAGGATATTTCTTTGCTGCTCAGCTGTGTGCATATTTATCTCCGGCTTCACATTAAAAGGTTCGTTATCCTCTTTGATGATTTCGCCCACGTCATTTTTCCCTGTTGTCATTGCAAGTAAAGGGGGAAAACATCATTTCTCACCTGCAGCTATCTTGAGCCAAGCAGTTCAATGACCAACTAGCGTATCATCTCTTTTGTGCAAAATCTTCACGTGAACAATAAAATGAATATGCCTTCAATTTTTCCCTCCATTCTTTTCCTTATTTTTTTTAATGAAAGAATAATGCATTAATAATAGTGAGAAAATTTTACTGCCTTGCACGACAATTTCTGAGGAAACTGAAGTGGACCCTTAGATGTTAAGGAACATATAAAAGAATATTCTACTTGTACAACTACGTAAAAACGACAATTTTCTAAACAAACAAATAAATAAATGGGATCCTATGATTACCAGTTTTTTCCCTCTTAAAAGAGGACAAATTCCTCTGAAAATTCGCCGATTGCATCTTGATTACAGAAAACTGCTCCTCAGACTGCTTCAAGTACAGCTCAAAATCACACATTTTATCTTTCATTACCAGACAAGTTTCGCCCAAGTGGTTGCACGAAGACGTTCTCTCTCGAGCATCAGCAATCTCAGCACGCAGTGTGTGCAAAAACTCATCCAATTCTCCAACCTCCGAATCCAATATCCCCGATAAAAGATCAAACTCAAGACCCTTCTCAACAGAATCAAGTTCCATGTGATCTTTCTCCAGCACGAAGGCCTCAAATTCACTATCCATAGTAGCTAGACGCATCATAAAGATGCTCAAGTTGGTAATTTTCTCAGAGAAACCTGCTAAACTCAACTCCAGCCTTGTTAGAGTTGTGCTATCAATGCCAATATCTCCAACATCCTCCCCACTGGGTGATTCGCCTTCAGGGAACACAACTTTATCCGTTTCGGTATCAAAATCAGTACTAACATCACCAACAGATGTTGCACCGGCCCCATTTTCAACATTTGCAGTATCCATTGTATCAATCCAGTGAGCCCGAAACCCGACAGGTTCGATATGAAAATTATAAGCTCATACACACAAATGAAGCTACTGGGAAAGAAGAGGACTGAAACAGAGTCAATATATGTCACGTAGAGGGTCTAATGCCATCGAAGATAGGCGAAACCAGTATGCCCAAATTCCGCCAGAGATAATCGCACGAAACCATACCGGTTCAGTCCGATAGAAATCATCAAGGAAGAGAATATTGGAAGATGACACCACTCATGAATTCGATCTCAGTTTGGAGATTCCCTTGGAGTAGTTTTTATTCTTTTTTAACGGGACCGGACATGCCCTAACAGGAAGAAACCACTCTCGGCCCCAACCCCAACCACGCGCTCGGCGGACGCCTAACCGAAACGCAACGTTTCTAATTTCTCCCCTCAAGTTCCTGAAGGAAAAAAAACAAAAGTCATTTTCTTTTTGGTACCAACAAAAAAATGCACGGGTGAATGGCCCGACTGAACTCCACAGCAATGGGCCCAAGCTTGAAAGAAAAGATAAGAATAGTTGTTTTCAGGTAAAAAGCAAACAAAAGAGGAGGCCAAGCTAAAAAATTAGAGGGAGAAAATAGTAAAATTTGCAATTTTTCCAGTAAAAAACAAGACATGTAGGGTGTGTTTGGTTGGAGGGGAGGGGAGGGGAGGGGAGGGAAAATGAGCCCCTCCCCTCATTTGGTTAAAAATTTTGGAGGGGAGGGGAGCTAAAATGTCCCCTCCCCTCCCCTCCCCTATTTTGGCTCCCCTTCAAATTAGGGGTTTTTGGAGGAGAGCCAAAATTTTGGACCATTATGCCTTTATGGTTTTTTAATATTCCACTTCTACCCATAAAATATATTATTATAATATTTATTTCAAATAAAAAATATATTATCCTAAGTAAAAAAATAAAAAATATATACATTATTATAATTAAAAATATATTATAAAAATTATTTATAAATAAAAAATTATTTGTTTTTTTATAAATATATTATTTATTAAATATATTTAAAGTTGGAAAAAAAGATAGCCTAAAGAAAATAAAATTTCATTTTTCTTAGAGCATATAAAATTTGTTAATTTGATTATTTTAAATATATTATTATATTAATTAGAATAAAAATTACTATACCAATTTTTTAATACACATATTAACATGATAAGACTGAATTTTTATTAAATTATATAATTTAAATTAAGATGTAAATTAATTTATATAATATATCAATAAAAAACATAAACTAATATGTGAGAGTAAAATGGTAAATTGATTATTACTATCCCTCCCCTCCCCTCCTTGAACCAAACAAGGGATCATTAAATACCCTCCCCTCCCCTCCTTTTTAATCAAACCAAACAAGGTGAGGATAAAACCTCCCCTCCCCTCCCCTACCTCTCCCTCCCCTCCCTCCCCTCCCCTTCCCTCAAACCAAACACACCCGTAGAAATGCTGAGTTTCTAAAATAAATTACACTATTTATAATTTAAAAAGTATAATTTATGAAAATTCACGTATGTATGGATGGATGCGCATGTTAATGAGAAACACAAAATGAACGTGTTGACTGTGGAGGGGTAGGATTCCCCGCGATTCACTGGGCTCAGCCTGCATAGTACTGGACTGGTATTCAAAATTAAAAAGAAATATAAATAAGTCGAGCACAAACAAATAACGTTTGTTTTTTAAACCAAAATAACTTTTGTTTTAGTATATATTATGAGTAAATTATATAACTAAGCCAATTTGTGTTAAGATTATGTTTATTAGATTGAGTCACTTGAATTACGTTAAAGTAGATATTTTATATTTTAGAACATTAGATGGAATTATTATTCTTGTTATATATGTACTATCTCCGGTCCTAATTATAAAATCTTACTTATAGTCTACAAATAAGGTCTTATAATTAGGACCTAAGGTAGTGTATTATAACATGAACATAGGTGGTTGCATACAATTCATTGTGATTGTTTCTCGCCCAACCTCAAGACGATCTACAATTTTCATATAGTGTTGTTACTTGTTTAAGTGTGGGTTCATTGACTTTTTCTTCCTTTTTAAGGTATACACAAGTATCCTCATATTAAAAATGATCCTATTTAAGACACTGTCAGATATTAAATATAAACACCCCTTCTAGTATGAGTTTAAAACTAAGTTCATTATATTGTAAGAAATTAACTCATTTTATTAGACCTAATCCCGTTGGTGAATTAACTAACTTCTATTTGAACAAAATTTGTATCTCTTTTCCAGGCCCAAATCCCATTAAGCATTAAAGAAATTTTATATAATATTTATTGCTTTTAGAGGGAATGAAGTTGCTCATGCCACTATTATATACTACCTCCCTTTCTAAATATAAAATCTAATCAATAGTGTAACATTATAACAGATATTATATTTAAGATTAAAAGTAACGTATGAGTTACTCAGAAAATGCCTTTTTTTCCCAGTTGTCGACAAAGTGGAGGAAGTTCTTTTTTTTTTTGGGGGGGGGGGGTGTTGGGGAATTGCTGTTATATACTCTAAGTCATGGAAAATGCAAGCTAGGTGTTAAAATAAAATTGCCAGCCTTTCGTCTATAGAAGGAGAAGCAAGAGACACAAGGAGACGTCACCAGCAAGCGCAGACCCATCCTCTCAAGTCAAATTTAGATTCTTTCTAAGAGCATTGTTTATCCTCAACATCAATGTAGATCCACAGGCACACATAATACACAACAGAAATTCGCAGCCCCCCTTTTTTTTCCTAGTAAATTTACAACATTGCTATACTCCAGTAGTTTTAATACTTGGGCATAAAAAACCTATCTAATCTTTAATATAAAAATTAATTTGACATTTAAATTAATTTTAAATATAAGATCATCATTCATTTTGTCTTTCGTATTTACGTATTTTTTCTCATAATAGTCCTTATAACAGTTACACATGTTAAATATTTGATCAAATAATAGTTATAACTAATATGTATGATCAATAAGATTATCTTAGATAAAACAACACATATTTATCATAAATAATTAATAATTAATTTAATTAATTTTTTAATATTTTCAAATTAGTTATTTAGTTTTTATATTAAATATCAGGTGTAATAAAAGCTCGTGACTTAGCCCCTACTATAAACTCAAGCATGTTTGGGTAAAATTTGACCACACTTGATATGTTCTCAACTTGAAAAAGTACAGGTTTTAACCTAACCATACCTACTCAGAGGGAGTTTCGAAGAGTGTGGTACCAAAAACAAGTTTGAAAAGTTGATAACCCAATGAACCATAGGTGGATACACCAAGAATCATTGCTGCTCCTAAAACTTATTGCTATATATGTTGATGATGATGAGAAGGAAGAATAAAAGAGAGGATGTAGCTCTAGGTCCCCCAAAGTCCCGAATTACGACGCTTTAGGGAACGAACAATATTCATCATGAACATGTCCACCATAAAGCCACAAGAGAGGCCACTTGCTCTTGATTAAACTTCATCCAATGATATATGGGGAGCCACCTATCAGAGTTTAACAGCTTGCATTCCTCTCTCTCTCTCTCTCTCTCTGTTACTCTCTTTTTTTTTTTTGGTGAAAACAACTTACTTGCATTCCTTTATGCTGTGTGCTGAAATGACTTGTTTTATGGCAGACACATGAATGCTGACGAACTTGATTGTGAAACGCAGGACATTCTCACCCATGATATTATTGTTATTTTTTTAATCCACGATTTCATGTCTCTTCAGTCCCTCCGAGGTTAACGTAAGCCTGTGGTATTTACTTGAAACCAATGACTTCAATTTTAAATTGGTTATGTCTTAAAACGTGTTCCGTGTCCATTGGTTCGCTGATCTCATCTTCTCCTAAATCTCCCCTCTTGTTTAAATTATGTTCATTGATCCCATTTGACCAATCATCATCTTCTATATGTCTAAATAAAGGGTCTTGCATCGATATCATTCCGGCATTGGGTGGCTGAATTTAGACACTACATATGTACCACTAAAATTTAGAGCATACTCTAAAATTTGCCTAGCTTTAAAACTTGTTCCATTTTTGGGGCTCAAAGGAAATTGTTCAATAATGGTGGCCCAAAAAAAAAAAGAAGAAATTGTTCAGATTACAAATTTCCTTGTTGTGCATACTATTTCTCTGTGTGCCGAGGGATAAATAATAAACTATTTCTAGCTAAGTTATCACGCAAGTAAAGATTGAGATTTAAATTCATAATAAAGAGTGATGGAGTCCCGACTATTTATGCTAATTTAAGTTGATTCTTGGTTTTTCATGTTATTAAAGAGAGCACTTGATAAATTTGTATGATTTTATTGGGCTTCTGCCGTTATTGCTTCTTTGTAAACCTCGGATTCTTACAACTCCTCTAGTTGTATAACTCATTTTAATTTTATATTCATCCGGTCTTTAATATAAGATTTATTTGATCAATTTAATTAGATTAAGGAAGCTAGGTAAGTTAGTTAATTATAAAAAAATATGACATATTTTTCTTAAAATACCATAATTATCATCATTGATATCTTCTCTCCCTCTTCTACTTAATTATGGTTAAGAGAATATCTATAGAGATAATTTAGAAAAAATTAATAAACTTGAGATGTGGGTTTTATATTTAGGACTAAAATCAACTCAGCAATTAAGTCCTATATTAATGACCAGAAGAGTATTATTGATCATTTTATATTAAAAAAAAACATTTCAGCTTAATATTTTCATATGACGCCTTACACTAAATGCTTTTTTTCTTTCTTGTTTTAATAGATTAGGCGACTGTTTGAAGTACTTTTACGCTCTATGAAACAAATGTCATCTCATATATTTATTTCATTTATTGTGAAATCACCTTCTCAAACTAATTCAAATGGACACTAATTTACTGTTTCACCCAAAAAGAAGTAATTCGATATATTCATATGGCTTAATCATAAATTCAGGCAAGAAAAAAAGGGGGGGAGTTATAGACTAGAAGATCATAGTTTACACTGATTATTAGGTTATGTATAAGCACCATGTAAAAAATACTTTTCATAACAAAAATATCGTATAATTGTAGAAATTAATAATTTAATAGGCAGGTATGTGTGACCCTTTTCAAGGAAAGTGTGTGGCCACTTATTACATCATCATATTTATTACTCGAGTCGAATAAAATATCTACTCGCAAGCGCATTAACATAATCAAAGCAACCAAACTTCAATATCACTGTGATTTAAAAGTTAATTAGTGTCATCTCACTCAGCATTTGGTAATGCTGTCAAATCTTCATCAAGGGACCATCCAATAAAACTCGTTATTTAGGTTAACCAGTGAAATTAACAACGATCAAAATGTTAAGAAGGCTTGTGATCCTCCTCATTATTTTATCATAAATTCGTGGCTGTGGATGCACCGAATAAAATATGACATGAGGTGTCCTATTAATTAAAGAAATTATATGTTCGCAGCAATAATAATTTTAAATAGAAAAGCAGTTCCGTCTTGCACTCTGCTTTGTCTCGATTTGATTAGTCATTGATTAGATGAAATATTGTTTATTACTAATTAAAATTTTGGCTTCTTTGACATTAATAATTAATTTTGGTAGGGAAGGAGGTGGTGCCATTTTTTTTTTTGTTGAGTGAAAGAAGTTTTATTATTCAAAATATGTATCCTTCTGTTTTTTGTTAGCGGTATATCCTTCTATCGGAGGTAAGACAACTATATTCAAGATAATGTTGATCACTAAATACATACAATTTTTTTTTTCTAAATATGTACAATTTTCATAACAGAAATTTTTAAACAACAATTTATGAAGGATTAACTTTTTTTATCTTAGATTTAATTTTGGTCGGTGATGACACTCAAATTGAAGGGTCACATTCACTCTTTAAGAATGGGCCCGGGGCTGACATCATGGGCCAATGGGCCCAAATGGCTCCGAAAAGTCAGATTAAAGACCAATGGTGGCCTTGACGCTTAGAGCTGGGAATGCGGGCTGGCGGTGCGGATACGGGCCAGCCCGCAGCGGTGCGGGCCAAAAACGGTGCGGGCTGAAGTAGCCCGCACTTTGGCGGACTGGCATTTTGCCAGCCCGAGCCCGCCAAGACGGGCTGGCGGGCTAGCCCGCCGGCCCGCCTAACTTTTTTTTTTTTTAAAAAAAATATTATTTGTATAAGTTTGAGCTTAGTTTGTAATGTTAAAATTGGATTTAGAGTTTTAAACTTGAGTAATGAGTTATAATAAAATAATGTGAGGATTAATTTATAATTTGAGAAGATATTTTAGAAAAACTAACACATATTTTTTTCTAAATAATTAATTTGACTATTTTTCTTATCCAAATTAATTAAGTAGATCTTTTATGTATGTATTACATATGCAATTACATGGATGAGAAGATGTAAATATGAAATTTGGGGGTTAAAATCCTCCAATTATGTTGTATAATATATTAGAAATTATATAAAACTAAAAATTAAAAAAAAAAAAAAAAGCGGGCTAGCCCGCCAACTGGCGAGCTAGCCCGCGGCGGAGCGGGCTGAAAACGGTGCGGGTTGGAGTAGCCCGCACCTTGGCGGGTTGGCATTTTGCCAACCCGAGCCCGCCATTTTTAGCGGGCTGGGCCCGCGGGCCCAACCCGTATTACCAGCTCTATTGACGCTTTTATCAAAAGCAACGTATAAAATATAATAATACTGTTTTCATAATTCGTCTCGCACGACTAATAATTTTTCAAATTTCCAGTCGTTCTCTGTTTTGATAACCCCTTGACATCTTCCTTCAACAAGGTTTTATTATTATTATTATTATAAATATTTTTTCTCAAAAAATTACAAAAGAATCTTTATGATTACTTTGAATTTTAAAATTACAATACTAAATGGGGTCATCAGTTCGAGCCTGATTATCCCTAAACCCAATATGAGTTTTTCTATTCTGACCTGCTCCCTCGCCACGATCGAATGAGAATTGAGAATGGATAAGAGGCTCGTGGGATTGACGTGAGGTTGTGAAATTCAGCTACCTCGACAAAGGAGGATATTTGGACAAGTGGAAAAGTGATTTTAAAAATTTTTTTTAGTAAATTGAGATAAATTTCTTTATATATTTATTTCGTATAAGGTAAAAACACTTTTAAAATTATAGTTTTGTTTTCACCATACACTTTTTAAAATTCTGAAATGTATAATATTTAGGGAGACTGATTAGTGGGTCCGTTTGCAAAAGAAAATTGTTGCGATATATAATAATGTTATTGTACTTAGATTTTTTTTGTCACTGCTGTTGTTAGTGATTTGGTATCCGCTAAGTTGGTTTTAGTGATTTGGTATTCGCGAAGTTAGTTTAGTTCCATAACGAAATTTACCCTTATGGTGGTGACTCGTCGGTATGTTCATATAATTAATGAAAGATTAGTAAAATCACAGTAATAAATTTTAGTCGATTTGCAAAACTGTGTATTTGAACTTCTGTATTTTCTCATTAGGAGACTCCATTTTTTTTTCCACCAGACAAGAGCTAATTGATCATTATATTTTGATCTAATGATGTTGAGGGGGTGTGTGTATCTATTCTTCTCTTATTTTTTAAAAATAAATAATTTCTTTTTAATATCATTATTCATGAGATCATTGCAACTTGATTAAAATAGCCCCAGTTGAGCCTGGTCACACAATGCTCATGGATGGCCCCAACCAATTGAGCCTGGTCATACAGAACTCACGAATTTATAATCACTTTTCAATTTTGTTTTCGCTTATCTAGCTAATTAATTTCTGGTCAAAAAAATAATCTAAGTAATTAATTAAATAAGCAGAGCTTACCTATTTCGTTTTTACACGTAAACCGACAATGGCAAAAGACTTTTTTCTTAAATAGTACAGTACAATTTACAAAATGAAACATCATTAACGTTCTCTGCTTGATACTATCTCTGATTCTTAATATGAGATCTTGTTTGATTTTTATTTTGGTTGTAAATATAAAATCTCAATATATTTTATCTCTTATATTTATTTATTTTTGTCAACATAATTTTTCTAAGAATGGTAATTCTTACTAATAAAGTTGATTAGTAAAGATATTTTAAAAAAGATAACAACTATTTATTACAAATAACTAACTTAACTTATTTTTTTTAATCTATTCAAATTAATCAACTAACTCTTATATTTATAATGGTTACAACGTCAACGGGACTACACATACGCCAGCATACAGCATACCGCAGGAAACGCTCGCTGTTTGTATTTTTTTTATAAAATAAACCTTCAATTTCCACATCATAAAATTTGATCCATCTTTACCATTTCACTCGTCTTAACATTGTCTAATGAGCCACTTTAATCTCATCTATAATTAATGGGACACATCTCCATTCACTCCGAGCATTTTTTGGCAATAAGAAACCAGATAGAGATAGAGATATGAACGGAGACAAGACATTGGGAGAATTTCTAATTTTAGCCAAGAAAACTAACTACCAAAATATTAAAAAGATTCATTTCTTAACAAATTTTAAATTTGACTTATAAATAACATGGCTCCCTTGTAAATATTTTCTAATTTTAGCTAAGAAAACTAACTACCAAAATATTAGAAAGATTCATTTCTTAACAAATTTTAAATTTGACATATAAATAACATAGCTCCTTTGTAAATATAAAGTTTAACTTGTAAGCATAAGTTATTAAATCCAACTTATAAATATATAAAATTAACTTGTAAATCTAATTTTTTCACTTTTCCACTTAATTCTATGACTAATTTATTAACCCAAAAAATTATTTTCTTAGGCTCTGTTTGGATAGCACCCCAAACCATGGTTTGGGGATCCAAACCATGGTTTGGGGAAAATGCTACCCAAACAGCCTCTCAAAAAACAAAACCATGGTTTTGGGTCAAAACCATGGTTTTGGAAAAAGCAAAATTTTTTTGCTTTTGGGGAAAAAAGGGAGAGTGTGAGGGCCTATATGATATGTATCTTGTTATTTTTTTTATAAACATATTTTTTTATAAATATATTTAATCTTATATTTTATAAATATATATAGACATTAATTAATTATTAATTATATTATCTTATGTATTATTAATTATGTTGGTAAAAAACATATTATTAACAATTTTATTTCTTCAAATTAAAATATATCATAAAATCTATTTTTTCTGTAATTATCATATTAACTTATGTCTTTTTTTTAGTAATTTGTATATATAAAAAGTGCTTCTGATAACAACTATCCAAACACTCTCACTTCTCAGAATCACTTTTTTACAAAATCTATTCTTCACAGAATCTATTTTTTCCAGAATCTATTCTCCAGAATCACTTTTCCAAACCACGGTTTGGTTTCATCCAAACACACCCTTAAACACACACCGCGTCGAAGCCAAAGCCATTTGCAGCGGTGCGCTTGATTCCGATCTGGGACAGCTTAGGCATCGGGATACTCGAAAATATCTTGTGCTATCTTGTTTGTTTTTGCGCATTACGGCTTCGGCAACTTGTGGCCATGGGGGCCCATGCCTTACTGCCATGCTGTTCCAGGCTTCGGCGTCTACTTCTCACCTGCTTCCTTCGCTGTAGGGTTAAAAGCTACTCCTAACCGTAAATTCCAACTCAGACTCTCCTGTAAATTTCCAAAGTTTATCATTTGCCCCCAAATTAACTTTTGAAAATTAGTCTTTGTCATCATCCTTATTATTGGCTCTCATTCATAAATTTGATCCAGTCAATTCGTATCTTTAATAGTTGTTTGATACGCTGCAGCAACGTACATTTTTGTATTTTTCAATTTTGCGTGTGCTTGTGTCTTTCTGATTTGTCTATAAATTAAGCTTATTGGCTCCCAACTTGTAAGGCTTGGATTCACTTTTCTTCTCGGCCGCCAGCTTTTTCTTGTCATCTCATTGTTAGGTACATCGTTCGCGTCTCGGATTTTCAACTTTCGAGTCCGAAGCATAGATTTTGCTTTTCTTTCTTTCTGGGATACCACTTACAGTTTATGTGAATTCGCTGGATTTTATTCTTGTTTTTGTAAGAAAGATCCGGCTTTTCATCCCACTTCGCTAGTTGCATAATTGGTTTTAAGGTTTCAACCTTGTCTTGTTTCGTTTTCTGGATTCTGTCTTCCACCTTTCTCTTGCCGCTTCATTGGTTTTCGGGCTGTTGTTCAAGATTTGACCACCTGAGATTCATCTATCTCAAGGCTGTACATAGCGGTCAAGCTTGAATCTCCTCAATACTTTGAGTTTAACAGGTTTGGATCACTGGGCTCGCAAATCGAACTGAATTAATTGCTTGAAGAAAATTCAAAACTGACCATTTTTGTACCACAGAGTTGTTGAGCTGTTCTAAAGTTTCCAAAACTTGAGCTCCTGTTCTGCTGAAAATGACTATCAGAGGGGATGCACCTAAAACAGAGAAGAAGAAATCACGAAAGAGCAAAGCAATTGTTGATGAGAAAGCACCCTTATTACCCAAAAGTAAAGAGGAAAATGCTGGGTTTGATGATTTTGATGGGGCCTCATTTTCTGGGGCTGTTTTCAACTTATCAACCACAATTGTTGGTGCGGGGATCATGGCTTTGCCGGCAACCTTGAGACAACTGGGGATGGTGGCTGGGATTGCTGCGATAATCTTCATGGCTTTCTTGACTGAGAAGTCGATTGAGCTTTTGCTCAGGTTTACCAGGGCAGGGAAGGTGGTATCTTATGGAGGACTAATGGGAGATGCCTTTGGAAAGTATGGAAGAGCTCTGGTGCAGATCTGTATTGTAGTCAACAACATCGGTATGCTGATTGTGTACATGATTATAATAGGTAAGAGCAATTGACCTTTTACTCATATTTACATGGATATATGGCTGTCCATTTTTATCATGCCTGTAGAATTTACACAGAGTTCTAAAAACCGTTGCTTCAAAACCGAATCCCAACTATGTCTTGTACTTGATTTCAACACGATGAAACACTCATTTGACGCTACATCTTTTGTTGTGTTACTGTTTGGATCTTTTGTTCCTGTGTTAGCCTGTACCGTATATTAATTTATCTAACAACGATGTGCATTAATTTTAATGAAGGTGACGTGCTTTCTGGGACATCAGCAAGTGGAGATCACCATGCCGGTATCCTTGAAGGATGGTTTGGTGAACACTGGTGGACTGGGCGTACATTGGTTCTTCTGTCTACAACGCTTGCTGTATTTGCACCTTTAGCCAGCTTCAAAAGAATTGGTAGCTTGCGTTTCTTTAATAGGAAGAAACAAACGCATGATTATTTCTTTTATTTGTTAAATTAGATGTCCATGAAATCTCATGCGCATAAACAAAGGGTATCAAGCATGACGGATTCTAAATAAGCCAACTGTCAGTTAGGTATGTGTTTGGATTCTTGGACTGGGATTCAAGAGATCTATAGACCGCCAACAGCTGCACAAGTGATTAGTGCAAGGATTGTTACAAAGTCACTACTCACCAATCAATTAATTATATGTTGGAGGTGTTAATGATCAACTTATGTTTTAAGAGAAGAGAGAAAATTGGGGAAAATTAAGTTGTTCCGTTGCTTATATTCTACAAACTATTGTTCTAGGATTTAGTATGCTTCGAGCCTTGATGAATTTTTTTGCTGTATGTCTGTTACTTTTTTTTTTTTTTTTTGGGTCTTGACTGTGGAAACCTCATGGTGATTTCTCAAGACCTATCTTAGATTATGAATGAATGGAGGTCTAAAATGCCTGTTGTCTGTTTGCAGATTCTTTGAGATTCACATCAGCCCTGTCAGTTGGACTGGCCGTTGTCTTTCTTGTCATTGCTGTGGGAATTTCGATTGTCAAAATTATAATTGGAGGAATTGAAATGCCCAAACTCTTCCCAGTCATTACCAATATGTCGTCATTTCTCAACCTGTTCACTGTAGTTCCCGTGCTTGTCACTGCCTATATCTGCCATTACAATGGTAGGCAGCTTTTTCACGTCTTGGTTTAAAATTGGATTCCATTTCCCTTGTTCTTTGGTTATTATGAATAATGATCATTTTCTTGCCATTTACCTTGTTATGACACTTCATTTGCAGTTCACAGCATAGACAATGAACTTGAAGACTCTTCACAGATGCAAGGAGTTGTACGGTCTGCCCTCGGTCTATGCACTGCAGTGTATCTCATGACAAGCTTCTTTGGGTTTTTATTATTTGGTGATGGAACTCTCGATGATGTGCTTGCCAACTTTGATACTAATCTTGGAATTCCTTTTGGTTCTGTGCTGAATGATGCTGTTCGTTTTAGCTATGCTGCACATCTCATGCTTGTATTTCCAGTTGTGTTTTATCCACTGCGGCTCAACATAGATGGTCTCCTGTTTCCGTCATCAAGGCCTTTGGTTCAAGATAACTTTAGATTTGCGTCAATCACTATAGCCCTTATTGTATCTATCTTCCTAGGAGCAAATTTCATACCCAGCATCTGGGATGCTTTTCAGTTCACTGGTGCAACAGCTGCAGTTTGTCTTGGATTCATATTTCCTGCCGCCATTACTTTAAGGTGAGTTGCTGCGCTCCGCTAGTACTTTTTGTGCGGTTTGAAAGGACCTATTTGTTATATTGGTGTTTATCTTTTATCCTCTAGTATTGTTACTTCTTCGTTAGATGCTATATCCTATACGGTATGGGATACTGATGTGTAAAAAATCATGCCTTTTTTTGGCTGTGAAAATATCATGCTTTTGAAGTTGTTTATAAAGTCAAAGGATATAATGGATATTTTATGAAAGTTAACCTTTTTTTCTTTGGGGGGGGGGGGTTGTGTGGTTCCTTAAGAAATGTGAAAGTACCATAACACCCAAAATGATGTCATCTTGTCCCTTGTTGGATCTGGAACATGTTAATACCTTGATGCTAAACAATCATCCTAGATGCCTCCAAGTTATTAAGTAAAATTATCCATCAGATTCTGGATCAGTTTACTTAAGATCGTAGAATTTTGTTCATTAGCCTGTAAGATTGTAGAAAATGTGAAATCATGTATTCCACAGGGGCCAAAAACTATGACCATCCGGGCATTTTGTGCTTCAGTTGCTAATTTGCTGCTAAACGAGTGAATCGTGACCAGTCTTCTGTTCTGCAAATGCAGGGACCAGTACAATATTGCAACAAAAACAGACAAAATCCTTTCTGTCCTTATGATTGTTTTGGCAGTCTTCTCAAACGTCGTGGCAATATACAGTGATGCCTATGCCTTGATAAAGAAGAATCACACATCCCGTGAATGATCTCTTATGTTTGCTCCTACTGAAGCCCTCTGTATGGGTAAATGCAAGGAGCTTGCTTTCGGATGAATGAAAACAATCGCCTGAGGTGGGCTTTCTGGGAGGTCTGACGGGGTTGATGAAAGAATAAACGAAGAAGCTGGCCTGTGTACAAATCTGCTTCACAATTATGGGGAGGCTTGCATGCGTGTAGCTTCCTCTGTAGTGTCTTCTTTTGCTGGTTTATGTCTGATTTTCTTGTAGAATATTGATCTTTTTCCATGTTTATTCTCTCCCTCATAAATGTAATATAAGGCTTTATTGGCATTTGTATGTCCTATTGTTGGTTGATTGAATGAATGCCAATCAAATAATGGAATAGTCAAAGCGTGTGATTGCCGTAGCTTAGCGGCACTTCTTTCAATCGTAAGCTTTTCTGTTTTTTTTTTTTTAATTAGTGAAGGTAAGGAAGACCATGCATATAAAAGAAGAAAAAAAAAGGATACAATTCTTGGTTTTCTAATTCAAATCCACTAACCCTGTGCAGCATAAGAAAACGTCAATAAAAGACAGTTTACACGTCAGTTTGTGAGCGGTTTTGACATATCGGCTGGTACATTCATTGCTTATTTGATTCACTTGTATGTATCATCTAAAATTGTACTCCAATTCCAAGCTATAGAATATGTCTAACATCCTCAATGATCACAAAGGCATTTTCCCCTTCCAGATGTTTAATCTTATCCCGCTCTTATTTTTATTATCTCAACATAATTACAACAAATGATTATTCGATAATCTAATCAAATCTGAGTTTAAACAGCATACACGGGTTACATCATTAGGGATATCAAACAATGTCTCGGCTCTTCTGAGTAGCCTGTTAAAGAATCTTTCTATTCTATAGCAGTTCAGAGTTCAAGCATCAGCGATCTCCCTCGTGTACCTCCTCCAACTTGGAGGTGAGAGAAACCCAAGACGCAAGAACAGCGAAAGTTACAGAACATGACATACAGCAGCTACACCAATATGGTTAGCCACATATAACACAAGGAGAACAGTGGAGCAATCTAAATTAGCTTAAATTATACATGACATTTGAATCATGGAGAGGATATTGTCTGTGCGACTACGCGTGCTACAAAACTGTGATACTACTGTCTTTAAAATCCTATGTACAGCTTCAAACTCTCCTAAAACAATCCTACTGCATCTTTCAACAATATATACACAAAATCATGAAATTTTGCATTCATGGGTTCCCTACATTGGCCACGAAAGGCACCAATTTCTTCTGGTCCTTTCTCCTACCTAGAGCACAGTTATTAAGTACCCGACCAAGAATCAGGCGAGTATTCTGCAGAGCCATCTCTCTTGGTGAGGTCCCAGACTCGGTTATCCCACCCTGTGTTGGCGCAGAAACTGCTCCAAATCCTGATCCCATCCCATATTGCAAAGGGCCACTGCGGACCTTAAATGAGGTCTGGGAAGCAAGCGACTTTTCGTCAGGTCCACTGATACCATTCTCAAATGACACAGCATCGTGTGAATGAGAACCAGTCAATGAACTGCAACTCTGTAGAAGGGCTTCTAAGACACTTAGTGCTTCCCAACACAACGTGCTTTCCACCAACTGAGATACAATTGCGTACATATGTGGACTTTGCGCAGCATCCATTGGAGTATGCTGAAGGAGAGCTTTGAGCATGAGCAGAATGACCCGTTGATACTCAACTGGCCCCTTTTCCAGTAGTCTCAACAAGTGCCCAAAAGCCAAAGCTGAATGTTTTGGGAACCACTCATTGCACAGTAGTGGGGAAACACACGCCAGGAAATTATCTATGCTCTTGATCTCACCTCGGGAGTAAGCCACAAACACTGTGGCCAATTCATCCAACGATTTTGCTCGGCACCAAATTGCAATATTGGTTGCAACAGAGCATGCTTTTTGATATTGATGTTGGAGAGGTGAAGCTGGACCTATCACTGGATCTTTACTGAGCTGAAGGCAGAGCCAAGGGAGTAATCCAATAATGTGCATCAGGAGTCTTGTCTCAGCATCCCCAAATATAGAGTCACATGAATGCACGGTAATACGTGAAAGGACATCAACGGAAACACTATGACTGACAGTGGACATAAGTCCTTTAAGAACAAGAGGCTGCACTCCTTCAAATGGTGGCAGATGCCCTTCTTGCAGAAGTTCAAAGCCACTTCTGGATTCTGTACGTTGAAATTCTCCCAGATCACTATTATCAAGTTCATCACGAGGCATGCTTGAAAGGAGCACATTTTCTGTTGTTCGCTCACGAAATGATAGCCGGTCAATCACATGAGAGAAAAGCTCAAGAACCTGGCGGTAGACATGCACAAAATCTGTATGCATCATAGCAACACATCCCCAAAATAGCTGAGGATACAGTATCACCTTTTCTGGCTCCATATTCTCCACCATAACTTGCAATGTCATTAGAATTTCCATAATAAATCCCAATACTTGAGGCACTGGGTTTCCTAGACACCTATGAAGGCACCGAAGAAGTGATACACAAGCATCACTTGTTACACTAGGTCGAAGGGCTCGGTAGATCTGGTGGGAACGGCAGGCAAGGTGTCTTGATGTGCACTCCATAGCCCATCTCAAAGCTTCTTCCCCCCAAGTTTCCCGAAGGTCCCCTTGGAAGAAGATAGCATCCACCATGCTCTGAACTAAAGCAGAAAGAAGAGCAGCACTTGGTAGCTCAGTTCTTACAACTGTGGGATCCTCATTCTCCCACATCATGCTTCCCCGCTTTGATTGTACATATTTAATCAAGCTTACAACCTGCTGCTTGTTCTCCCTCTCACTATTTTCCACCTCATACTGTTCCAAGTGACGGCCAGCAAGTGAATATAACAAATTAACAAGCAAATGCTGGCAGTGTTCTAATACTATGTCTTCTGAGCTATCCATAGAAACAAATATGACATGAAAGAGTAGAGGCAAGTATTGCCGGAAGTCTTCATCATTCTCATATGCAATTTCAGCAAGTAGAATCAGAGCTATATCTGCATGTGTCAGGGAATGCTGCTGATGACCCTGCAAGGCCGATTGAAGTTCCTTTGCATTCACACCATGCATGGCACCCCCACCATGCAATCCATCTTCACCTGAGTTTGGTGTGTCAACAAGGTAATCTCCACTGTCCCGTGAAACATGGCGGCTCCTTAAGCTCCCTGCTGAACTTTTGACACCCATCAAGGGTCCAGACATGTTAACCAGCGATGGAAGGAGCTGACCAGATCGCCCTGTATTTACTGGCACGACGTTCAACTCTGGAGGCATTGGACTTAGTGGACCCGAAACACTCCGTCCAGTCATCCCAGCTGTTCTCCAGCTTAAGCTGCCACTTACATTCCTAAGTGGACCATCAAGAGAACCTCTCACAAGCAAAGGGGACATATGTGGCTGGTTATCCACAACAGATGCCATCTGAGCCATGGCAGGACCCTGTGAAAACTCTAACACGAAGTTTGCAGTAGCATCACCCTTACTTGCACTTGGCCCAATTGGCTCAATGCTATCCTCTAGCAGCCGCTGAGATAATTGGAAAACTAGGTGATCTATAGTGCGCTGAGGACATATTCGAGCTAAATATAGACTTACTCGCTTTGCAACAGAGAAATATGTGGCAAATGCACCACTTATTTCAGTTGATGCATTTGAATCACAATCTTCAATGCCTTTTGTGATTAAGAAATCCAGAACAGGACTAATGTTCCTGTTTTTGCTAGCAATGGTACTCCATAATTTCTCAATTTCATCAGGGAACTGGTCTCCATGCCTCCAAGTCACATAGTAAAGACTTTTCAATAGTCTTTCACTCCAGCCTTCCTTGAGTTTCCAGAAGTTAAGGTTCTCTATCCATGGAGCCATGCAAGTTAAGACCTGATGCTGAGCAATTATATCCACTGCATCTAATTGCCTCTGCATGATCTCCTCACAAAGAAGCTGGCTGAGTTCAGGATGATCTTTGGCAAGTTTGCAGGAAAGCTTGTATTGGAATTGTTGGTAGGAGTCAGGAAGGTTACCAACAACAGCAGCACGATAACTTCCTGAGCCCTCAATAACATCATCAGCCCATTCACGAACAGAGAGAGTCTCCAGCATCTGAAGGGCATCATCACGGATCTGTCTTGATGGATCCACCACCTTGTAAAGGATCAGGCTCAAGAGTCTCTGTATCTCACAATTTGGTATCTCTTGGCGCATATATACCTCAGCTAGAACACTGAAGTAGCCATCAGCTATAGCAGAATCGGAGTAATAGCACTGCATGAAAAAAATGAAGTTACATAGGCTTTTATGTTGATGGCATGATGTCACGAGCCAGATTTTCTTACAAAAAAAGAGATATAGATAATACATGGAAGAACTCAGGCCAAAAAAAAAAACAGGTGATGCATAGGAAGAATGATCTGAAAATCAAGCCATCAGCATAAACCTGTAAAGTCCTTAAAAACAACTGTAGGAAAACAGTCGAAGTGCATCATTTTAGCTGAAGCCTGTAAAGTCTCATCTCACACGACTGTAAATTACATTCTTCGGATGCATTTCTGTCCGCTGAATATTTCTTAAATTATAATTTGTTTTTCTTTATCTTCTTCATTTCTTTAATTTTGACTGCACATCCTGGAGAGGGGAGTTTGGACAAGTACTTTATTGTCTCCTCAATTGCTAATGTCTCCATGTAGTCATTTGTACGAATCATGCATCATCATTAAGCGCTCTGACTTTTCCTGATGAACTATTTTTGTCGTACCATACCTCTGAACAGAGTAGTAATTGAAAAATACTCATGCAGTGGCTGTTGAATAGTGATTATACTTTACAGCTTTATAATCTACACCTAGTCAATCAAACAGCACCCGAATGAGAAGCATAACACAGTACCTGATCAATGCAAGCAGGAAAAAGATCCAGATTTGTGAGCAAAAGATTCTTCAAAGCCAATTTCGCCAAAGAAACACGATGATGGCCACCCCTATGCCTATCACGACCAGCAGTTCCACGGCCACCATCTCCCATGTGTTTGGAGTATGAATATGATGGAGTTCGTGGATCAGCAGGTGAGTAACCAAAGGGAGCCCTGGGGGCAGGCTCTATGAACAAACTATTAATCCAAGATATCACACGACCACTCATTTTCCTTGCATTGTCATCAAAGCATGGTCCATATAAAAGTGATGCTATCGCATTCATGGATGCCCACTGGATAGCCTCAACCTGTTCATTCAATTCTTTGTCAAATGATATTTTGTCCACTGAATCTTTTGAGCGGGCATGTTGAGAAGACTTGTATCTATCAACCTCACGTCGATAATCACTAACACTGTCTTGACCCCAGGTGCTGCCTGTATCATCGGACCAGGAGAGTAGAAGATCAAATAGTCTCTTTCTAGTTCTAACGTCAAATTTTTCTGATTTTGAATCAACAAGCTCTGGGGCTAATGATCTTAGAACACAAGCAAGTGCATAGCGGAGGGGCTGCATATCTTGAAAATTCTCCGGAGGGGCTGTTGAGAACAGTCTAGCTGTTTCATCAATGAATTTAAGATAATGGAGACGGAAAATTGGCTTGCGGGCAAGCATGCCTGGCCATATGTTTTCAGCAACAGTACGGTATATGTTTGCAATGTGGATACGGAGTTCTTCACGGCGAGACTTTTGACTCTGCATTTCATAAAATATATCTTATACATGTCAAACCATGATTCAAAATTCTGAGAAGTAATCAAATTAGCAATAAAACCAGTTTTACTTGTTTCACCTCCATTAATTTAATTTGAACCAAGGAACTATAACAATGTTATTGTATTTAAATTTCAAGGTTCTGCAAGTGCTTTTTTTAATTGTTTTTTCCTTTCTCATATATTATCATCATCTCTAACATTCTATCATAAGCTTCATGGACCAGGCTTTTGGATGACAAGAGAATTGGCACCTACTCTGCCTGAAAAAACCCTGCATAACTTGAAATATACCAACTCCAAACCTATCCCATGCTAAAAATAGGAAAGGTTTTCAGGCAGGCACAAAGAATAAAACTCTCACAAATATGGACCAGTTTGAAAACCAATTTAACACTGAAAATGTTTTTCTGGTGATTGTTACTGTCAACCAAAACTGAATGTAAGCAAATACAAAAAACCAATGCATATGGGGGGTTGTCAACGAACAGCTTTTTTTTTTTTTTAAATAAGAATTAGTAAGTGCTAATAGTTTCCTATAACATATTCGAGGCATAAACTGAAAATATTTCATAACTTTAAAAATCCAGTGCTTATTTTTCCTGCGCTAAAAATTTAGTTCTCAGGTCTCAACAGTAAACTGAACTTTCAAAAATAGAACTAGTGTTTTTAGGTCTCAGCTGTAAAATTATATTCAGGAAAAAGTAGAACTGATACATGAATGGAATCTTCAAAAATAGAGATCAAAGCAGATTTACTTTTAAACAGACAATGGGAAGATTAAAAATGATTGGAAAGAACATTAAAAAACCCACTTATAAACTAAAATTTTCTTCAAGTTTCACAAATGAGAGTCAGGTATTTTCCACTTTTACCATTATGCTTACTGGCATTAATTAGAGAATGAAGGGAATACTAGATTTAACATGATTTTTCTTGGCCTCAGATACGTACGAATTATGTAGCTCATTCAAGAAAAAATGGACCTCAATGATGTTGAAAATGTTGTTAAACTAATTAAAATGAATTCTATAACCTCATAAGCAATACCTTCCACTTGGGTTTTCCTTCTGTCTCTGAAGAAACCTCTTCAATAAAAGATGTAAGTTCAGCAAACATGATTTCACATGCTTCCAGGTGCGAGTGGCCAAGAGCCATGGTGGCTGCATGCTAATATCAAAACCTCCTTAGCAAAAAATAGACACCAAAGAGGATGGATAATGAAAACCCACAAAAGAAGAAGAAGAAGAAGAAGATGCCCTTATAACATTAAAAATTTAAAACCGTAGCAAGTCTAATACCCATTAATCCTTCCACTGCCCTTTTAATGTAAAACCTCATATTTTCAGTTAACTATCATTTACCCAAGAAAATAAAAAATCAGTTCCTAACATCATATCAACTATTCAACATATGAGCCCTATTTAACCATGTACATTGCTGGGATCTTGGGATTAGTACCAATTTCATCATCCTGGAGATTTGAATATGAATTCCTTGCCATTGCGAGTAATTATTTTTCATTGTGTAAAATCAATAGCTTTCCCACATAAACAAACATTGTACATAATGCTGTAAGAATTTTCTTCTAGAGTGAAATACAAGCAGTGTTTTCCCGTCATATTTTCCTTTATATAAACAAAGACCCATGCAGCTTCTTGTGGAATAGAATAAATAATAAAACTTCGTAGTAAACATGCACAGATATCACCTATAGTGACACCCTAATTACAACCACAGAAAACATATTAAGGGGGAAATCAGCATAGCAAACTAATAGTCTAGGAAAGTAAAATTGAACTATCCACTTCTTCAATAGAAAATAAGTTACAGGATGAACTCTAGCACGAAAAAAAAAATTCAATTATTGGGGTTTAATTATGAAAGAGAAGGACAGGAAGGAGTTTAAACATGTTAATGGGACTAATCCATTTGTGAATTCCAGCAATCACTATATCAATCAATAATAAATTCCATAAAAGTTAGATGTTAACAGCATGGGAATAAATATTAAACAAATTGTCCTGAAGTATGCCTGCCAGTATTCATGTGAAGATAGGTTTTACAAAATGGACAAAGTTTCTTGAGGAGTACTCACAACATGTGCATCAGATCCAGATTTCAATGAAGGGAAAATAAGATGGCAGAGTTCTTTGGTTACTAAAGTTCCACCAGATTCTCGAGCAGCTGGTGGACATGAACAGACAAACATGGCATACATGAGCCACTGGTCCAGTTTATTATCAGCATCCTGTGATGGATGAGCCTTCCCACCCAACTCAACTGGGGTAATATGAGCAAGGCGTTGCATAACCTCTACCCTGCCAGAGCCAAAGTCATACTACATCATCTTGCAATGTTTATGTGGGAAGTGGATCAGGGTATAGATTAACTGAAGGAAGCAGGATAAGCATTACAAGTTTATCACACACAACACCCCCCCCCCAAAAAAAGAAGAAAATAGTTGGCAAGATAATTACTGGCAAAAATTGTTTTCTTGTCAGATTAAGAGAGTAAACCAAACATAACCATCCATGAAATAGAGAGGAAACATTTACACTAGATCTATCCAAAAATTAACACATTTACCCATCATGTTTCATTACAAGTCATTTTAATGAAAGCTGAATCATGATGCAGGAGCAACTACGGAAACCAAAAGGGTGACTGGATTACTGTCTGCACTATGGCAGCGGACATGCTACTCAGACTGAAGTTGTGTGCGTTGGTTAGCACCTTTGTTTTCAATTTAACTTTTTTCCTCGTGTCCTTTTTCAAGTTAACAGGCTATTTGGGGGCAGGAGATCTGTTAATGATTAGGGATTCTATCACTTATATAAAGCGATTTGACCAATGTAATGGGACTATATCAATCAGCATGATAAAATGACGTTTCTTCCCTTTTCTTGGCAGTTTAAGCAGAAGACCAACCCCCTTTTGCTCTCTTTGCTGATTCTTAAAGTATCTCGTGATACAAAGTATGAAATTCAGGAAAGGAGGCGAAAATTTAGGGAAAAGATGCGTGTACATACTTTGCTTCCTGGACAGAGCTTGGACAAAGCTCGGCAGCATATTTGACAAGCTCACTAAGACACCGAGCCCACCTGTTCTTATCAGGGCTCTCAAATATTATAGATTGAAGTGTCATTTCAGGAGGAATGGCATCAGATTCTCTTCTCAAATCAAAAGGTCGCCCTGAGTCCCAGTAGCAGTTCTGGACAATCTCATCCTGCAGCACCACTAAGATATTTAAAACTGTAACTAAAAAATAAAAAATAAAAAATGCCATAACTAAATTTCAAATAAAATAAAATAAGTAACAAATATTAATACCCCATGTTCTTCTAGAACATCAATAATAAATATTGGTTCAGCTTCATATTTCAGAAGATGATTTGGTTGCTCAATCCTCAGGTCCCTAATATCATTTCTCAAGGCCCGGACACATCGCAATAATTCTAATGCTGTATGCCTGATTTGACTATCAACAGATGCAAGGAAAATTAGACCAACTGCATCAATTTCTGATGCACGAAATTCGATTGCTTCTCCCATTTGTTGGAAGGAAGACTTTCTAAATCTCTCAGCTTCATGCCCCAAAGGTCTTGCATCTTGAGCATCATATTGCATTCTATCATCTATTAGACAGGATCTCCAAAAGCGCATTAGTTCCAGTAGACGTCCTAGTGATGTTTGAATGAGAAGAGGGAACTCATCTGGAAGTCGTAATATAAAGTTGGCCATTCCTTTCATTACTGCAAAACGACGATGGGGTAGGTATTTCACAATACGATTTAGTACTTGTACTGCTTCCTCACGAACACCAGGGTCAATGCTTATGCCATGTTGGGGAATTATTTCAGTGATTTTATCACTTCGTCCAACTTCTTCTATTAGATATGGGATGCACTTTAACACAGAACGGAATAGATACCCTTGTGACCTTTCCTTGGTTACAGCATCTACAAAATATAGAGGACAAAAAGGCATCGATGCGGTCAGAATTTCCATAGAAATATGAAAATTTGAAAATTCTTCCAAGGATCGTCATTATGGCTAGTTTAAAAAATCAGAAATTGGATCATTATACAACAACAAAATCTTTACCCCGCTAAGTGGGGAAATTGGATCATTATACAAATTAAGATAATTGATATAGACGAGAAAATAATTACAGAAAAAAGGAATAGACTAATCACATATATGGATGTTATATTTCAATAGTTCAAATGACAAGTTAAAAAGAAAATACAATAAAAATAGGATAGGCTTTGTACCCTTTAAATGGCTGCATCTAGAAAGTCATGATTTTAACACCAAAAGTGTCAAAAATATTATTTATATTTTGGACCGCTCCTCTTGCTACCATCTTTCCCAAATTTTCTCAATTCTCACATTCCATATCTAAATTTTCTACTTTACGGTCTCCATTTATCTATGCTATGTAGAAGAGTAAGAGAGAGAGAGAATGCTTTCGAAAGCCATGACAAAAGGAGGCTTGTAGTACATATATTTAAGTATAGGTTGTTTAATTTGGGATACACAACCAACTGGGAGCTTCTATAGCATAGCTATATAAAAATATGGATTAACGGATGCTTTTCTAACGCCCTTCCAAGATGGAGCATGTAAATCACATGCAGCAAGTTTTGTAGAAGTAGGTTGTATGACCCTTGATTTAACAGCACTTCCAAGAATAGCAAAAGTGATTCATAACATTAATACCAGAGTAGCTGGAGAAAGGCATTGCTGATGCAATGCCCAGAGTAAAGAGTAGTTTGAGGACCGCAAGAAAAGTTGTCTAAATTCTGCTAGAAAAGACACCAAATGATTGTTAGAAAAGTTGACCAAATAGATCAAATGCCAAGTTCTACTGGAAAAGTCATCAGAGCTCCCCAAGAGGGAAAAGCTATATCCCTGAAACCACACTACTACGAATGCCTATTCTTCTCTCCCTATGTGCTTTGATAGCATGACAAGGGAAGCTCGTGTTGCAAATATTTATACAGAGAAAAAGTTGTTTAGCTCAAGATACAGCTAATATGGGACTTCGACAGTGTTACAAAATACAAAAAAAGGATAAGATAAATACCATTCTCACATTTACATACTAATTTTCCCATGCACATTGATTGGTGTAATGGAAGTGGTTAGGAAGTTAGTTCAAGCAGGTCAAGCTGTTGCAACTAAGGCTAGTTAGGAATCTAACGAACGACTCCTTAAATAACTGTTGTATAATGAAAGGGAGCAGTTGATTCAATTTGTGAATGAAATTCTGGTTCTATCAATCCGTTCTCTCTCACTTCTACTCTTCTTTTCCTTGCCATATACATTTATTATTTAATATATAATAGAACAAATAGAAAATATTGCAGTACATTTGGCTGGCTGCCATATATTCCAAGAAATTACCTATTGTGGTCTTTGAAGATGTCAACAGTGCTTGACTGTATGTTCTATGACATGACCTCAGTATTGACTCAATGGCAGCTTTCACTTTTGGAATGTAGTGGCCAATATCATGACCTGCTAGGTCAAAAAACCGGAGTTTTAGGATTTAGATCTAAACATAACCATGTTCATCAAATCTAGCTGTTCATTATTACCATATGCTAATCACTGGTTTTACCTTTAAAAATATCCAAACCCACGTGCTGACCAGAAGGCAGCATGACAATGGCAAGCAAAGCACGAAGACCAATAACCTTTGCTTCACTAAGGCTGTCTTGTTTGAGCAATTCTAGTATCATGTGATTCATGGCAAAATCAAGATTATGTTCAGCTATAGTTACACAAAACTCAACAAGCTTATCATGCTGGACATCCTGAGTAAGCATCCCTTTCCTTAGAACTGTTAAGAGCTGTGAGGTTACACTGTCTAGGTAATCCCATATACGATTTGTGGCCTGGTTAGCCGCATGGACACTCAAGTAAAATTTTAAAACTCGATGAAGACAATCCAAAGCCATGAAACGGTGATTCTTATCCTGCAAGATCAAAACCAGAGTAATTTAAAAATAATTATCGAAATATTTTACTTGAAAGGAGAAAAGAAAATAAAAACTCCATTAACAAGGGAAAAAGCACTTCTTTTTCCTTCGACAGAGAACACGAATAAAATATTGTGCACACACTGACTGGATTTGTGAAAATCTTACGAACAAAATTTTGAAAAGGAAGTCATCCATGAGCCCCCAAACTTATATTAAAGTAAATGAAACCTTGATCACACCAAATTTCAAGGATAAAAAACTAACTGATACCAGAACGGGGGAAAATCAGAGAGAAAGAAAATAAGAAACGAAGCTCAAATAAAAACTAGAATTTGACAAAAATCACGTAGTTTGTCTTTCTTTTTCCATGCCAGAATATATACGTAAGTAACGGGCACAATTAATGGAGATATCAGCACTTTATTATAAAAACCATGAGAGATGACTGTCTAACTAACTATAGCTCAAATTTTATTCAACTTCCAAAACAATATGCCAGACTGAATAGACTTAATTTATGCCACTGTTAATCCAAACGGGGCATATATGCTTCGTACTTACTCTAAGGAGCTTGTAGAGCTGCTCCATGTGAGCACTTAAGTTCATGTGAAATATTTGAGGATCACCAAGGCAGAGAAGAAGAATCACCAATGGGTAACCAACCTGGATGATTACACAAAAAAAATAAAATAAAACATTCAGTAATCCTGGGATTTTAACGCAGGAAAAAATAACAGGCCTGAAAAGAGAATTACAGCAATATGTTTGCTCTGTTTGTCCATCCAATGTACGAGCTGACTTCTAATACGTCCAACAGCTTCATACCAGAATGTAAGTGCAGGCTCTACACCAGAAGGTGGCCACTGGCTTTTCCCGCCATCTGCAAGGGGTGCTAGGATGTTTGAAAGCATATTACATAAAGCATGGTGAAGTTCACTTTTGCGTTTATGTGGGGCACGGTTTAAAGGGTTTGCTTTTGCCACAAAAGATGCAGATGCATTCAATCCACCCTCTGTTTTAACCTGAGAAAGAGCATATATTCACACCAATATTTATAAAAATTTTGCAGTAAATACTTATATTTTACACATACCCCCAGTTTCAGGTAACGCATTCCATTAATGATACTAAGTGTTTCACTTCTGGCAACATTAGTGTCAATTCGACGCGTATTAAGTTCCATAAAAAACCGCTCAGTCACAGAACTAAACCTGCAAAAACAGCATACAAGTGGATTAAATAACCAAAAAATGTTTTGTTGTTGGGATGAAAAGCAAAGATATCATTGAACTTCATATTTTTAGCCATGTCTTAACTGTAACATAGATCAAATGAATGCATCCAGAAGCGCTCTTACATGCCAAAGATTGATACACATGCAGGCGCACACAAATGCATCTCTTGATTAATTACGCAAAAATTACGAAAGTTCTAACAGTTAAAGAGCAAGCCAAGAATGAACCACTCCAAATCTCAAAACAAACTAAAGTATAAACTTCATTTCTTCTCAATAAATCCATAACTAAATTTAAAGCTCTGAAAATTCTGCTTTCCAGAAACCACCTTGGCTGCTTTGCAACTTTATTAGCAAGAGACTGTTACCAAAGCATCAACAGAAATTAAACTATAGAAAGAGAGAGAACAAGAATGACCCAATTAGCAGCATAACCTTAAAAAAAGTGACTCCCGTAGAAACCCCATTAATTAAGGATTTCATATACTAGGATTTATCTGCTTTAGTAGGAGATTATTTAGGGATGTATTTTGCTGATTTCTTGCTGCCCTATGATTACACTAATATGTTCTGTCATGTACAGTGATATGCACATAAACTAAGAAATCAATCGAAGCTAATAAAGATGCTTGGAGTGGTGACGGGTAGAAGTTCAGAAAATTCCAACTTTATAATGTATTCATTATAACATCAAACTTCTTCTTTGGTAACAATAGATTTAAGCACTGAATAGAAAACCTACCCTATAATGTAAGCATAGACCACCAACGCCTAAGGTCCTAAAGAAGAATAACACAAATTCAGAAATTGCAAAATTAGTCAATTCTTAAATCAACTGAAAACAGCTTCAATTCACCAAACTGAACAAACCTTGTATATTTATACGGACCAACAAATGAATCTGATAAGATCATTCCACTACTAAATACTTCTTAAATCAACCCAAATAATGTTCAACTATTTTTATGTCATAAATAACTGATTTCAAGTGCAGATCAATGATGAAATTGAAATACCTGATGCGTGATAAAGCGCCCAAGAGTTGAGCAACTAGGTCTAGAAGAAGCCCTCTCAGATCAACCAATGAGGGATATTCAACCTGGCTAACAACCCTGCAATAAGAGTTTAGCGAATTTACATGATAAGGCCATATAAGCAGCAAAAGAAAATGTTCCAAGTTTCAATTAGGATTTGTATATAGTGTTTCTGAAACAAAAGCAAAATATACTGTCCTGTTGTACTGGCTTTAGTTAAAGTTTTAAATTGCATATAATGATAAGTTTCAAACCAATTAAAATCAAGGAGACAAGCTGCATCTGGATTACAAATGATATGTTTCAGACTAGTATACAAAGGGAGAACTTCTGAGCAAATTTCATACTCTATTTTTGGTTATTGATTGTGCTTAGTGGAATCATTCTCCTGCTTCTTTCTTTGTCTTATTAAATACTTTATTTCGTGAAACTCATGCACATCAAGGTCAGAAGCATAGATTGGCTACAAACAGATCGATAATCACCTTAAGGCTATAGAGTTTTGGAGATGCTTGAGCGACTCTATAAACCAATAAGCACTATAATGATTGGTAAAACTTTCAGAGTTAATCATTAATGATTATTAAGAGAGTGAACATTAGTTTGAATCTAACAACACGGTCACTAATCACTGGAAAGCAGAAGGGGGTTGGTGAACATCGTTGAAATTGAATTTCAATCAACCATAGCATTCTACTTGAAACAAGTCATACTGTCGCCAGGGTCTGAAAATTAGGACATAATCTGGATTACTGGCAATTATGAGCAAGGATAGAAACCCTCATCTCCAAATTCTCAATTGAACAAAGATACAAGTATTTGACAGTCGATGAAACCAATATTATCTAAAATTGAAAATTTTCGCCAATGGGAATGATTCAATTCCTCTAGGAGTAACAATAATTTTATCAGAAACTAAAGTTGTTACCCACTACCAGAAAGTTACTAGCACTAGGTAATAACATAACTACAGCTGTTCCAGTCCTTGTCCACTGTAACATTACCTGTCAGCATTTATCAGCCAGTCAAAAACAAAATTTTCAAGCCCAGACCACAGCTTCTCTGGAATGAAGGTAATATTATTTGGTTAAAAGAAGAGGGGAAACATGTACTTGACTATAAATTTTCAGAAATTAATGCACAAAAAGAAGAATGAGGCAAAAAAAAAAAAATGATATAGTTACAAACCAGTAAGCCCCTCCTGTGGGCAGCACTCTACAAAGCGGATGCATGCAGAGCAGAAAATGCACTCTACTGCAAGCTGAATTACACAAAAATATATATTATAAATTCAAAATAGGTTACATTCTAAATTAAGGCACATAGACAAGGAACAAAGGATCCAAATCTTCTCATGTACGGGGTTCAAGGACCATATCAAAGTTGAAAATAACCCTTCATTTTCATCATACGCGTATCATCATGCCACAGTGACAAACCCATCACTCACTGCTTGCTTTGTTTTTATTCTTTCTTTTTCCTTCTTTCACATTTATTGTAAACCAACAGGACAAGGAAAAAAATATGCCATGAATTTCTTAAAGAGGCTAATATCAAAAGTTAAAAGCCAATCACTGTCCTCACATCTACTCTGTTGGACCTCTTCCAAAATCAGGTAAGATGTTATATACAAGAGAAAAATGCACAGGCAACAAGGTCCACTTTTCCTCAAAATAACAGATTTTACACTTCATTCAATAAACCAAGAGAATCACAAATGATTTATGGATCCATCATCATGAGGAATTTTGACTAGGTATTATGAGGCATGGCTAAAAGAGGAAAAGCCAGTATGGGGAACAATGAAATTCAATGCGTGTAACACCATTGTCACCCACACCTACTTCTACCACAAAGTAATAAACCACCACCACCCTCTACGGTTCAGTAAATATAAACTCTAAAAAGAGACAAGTTATCGGTAAAAGATCAATTGGTATGAATCCTTTGTCCAAATAATGCAGATTATACCAAATTCAAAGGCTAACTAGGAACTGAAAAAATCAGGGATTCCTCATCCCCCCATCAAAATGGCACCAAAGCTAAGATGTAAGGTTAATGCATGGGACTTTTAAAAGTACAGAGTCTTCTGGTTACTGCAGGACAGACAACTGCCCCTGTTTTATAATTTAGATTTCTGGAAATGCACCTTATATGAATGATTTTTAACATGCAAACCACTCAATATAAGTATGAACCATTTCTAATCTAAGTTATAGATGAAAAATTGTAGGAGCAATCAAGGGAAGAGATGGGGGAAAACAAATGAAGAAGATGAAAGAAAGCAAAAATTCAAAGCACAAACCTTTCTTTGGAATGTAGATGCATCATTTGCACCCTTTGGGGATTCACTACAACAGATAAGAGAGCCAAAAAGTCAATATCTGGGAAGGAAATTCAAAGGAAACACAACAAAAAAATCTGCGAAGTATAAAGGGATTATAGTTGGCTAAAAAGGGCGCAGTATAAGCAGGCAGTGGATACGACATCTTAAATGAAATAAGGGGAGCAAACTAGCTCAGTAAGCTCAGTACAGTAGGAAACCACTAATGTGAGAAATTAGATTTCGAAGTGAACAAGGTTAAGTAATAAAGCTGAAGTCTCCCAACAGTTGGGAGATAGAAGCACATCTAGTTTAAGCTCACTAAGTCAGATTGTATCAGGTAACCTGACCAACAAATAGCAAAATAAGGCCTTCGACTTTTGCTTGGGAAGGACGTTATTGGCAGCAGCGGAGATAGAATAGGGAGGAAAGGTAATGAGTCACCTGTCTCTCCATCTCAATAATGCTTCCAGTAATGGTACAGGTGTATGTCGAGCAACCATAGCCAAAGAATCCAGTACTTGCTCATAAGCCGGGTCAGACGGCCGTAGGTACTGTCCATCCTGGAATCAACCAAAAAATAACAATAAATGAACAAAAAAGCAAACGAGGAACGACGAAATGCATGAGAAAACATCAGTTTGAAAAGCAGATTTGCCTGGCGAGCAGTAGCAGGCAATGCACCCATTAAAGGGAATAAAGGACGAGAATTGATTTAAGCTCAAAAAAGGTCAAATTTTGGAAACTGCAATGAAGAGCACCTGAGCTTGAGCGGTTTCAATACGCCGCCGAGCAAGTGGAAGGAACCGCTGGAGTAGGGCATCCACTATCAACTTCGCAGCACTCCCCGCCTTCATTGAATTTTCAAGAGATTTCCTACCAATCCCACTTTAGAGAACCCGCCTTGCATTCACTTCTAAAATTAAGAAGAGAAATAACAACAGAATCAAGTTCACAGTCGTAGGAGGAAAAGAATGAATTGCGGGGCAAATGAGAAAACGGGTACCTGAGATTCTAGAACGGCATTGCCCTTGCTAGCAGAACTGCTGTGGAAACCCCAAAAGTAGAATTTTTTTTTTTTTTTTAATTGACTTGTCTCCGGAGTTGAGAGAGTTCACATGGATCTGACCTCGACACAGAGACCACCTTCAATTCTCCGGTGATGATCGCGGGGGTACTACGCTGGCATTAAATTAAATTAATAGCAAAACATTGATTTTCCTGAAAAGTGTGTTCTTTTGATTCTAATTAATTTTTTTCCCTGCAGGTCTGGCCATAGCTGGAACCCAATTTATCAACCCCAGTGTTAGGTCGTCCCTCGGCGTGACGAAATGATCCTTGCACTTATTCACCAAAAGAAAGGAAAGGGAAAAGAAAAAAGAAAGTGATCGCGGCCTTTGGCAATGAAGTTTTATCCGTGCCACCGTAAGTATTTACTGGGGGAATAACGCGAGCAAGCAATTTCCCCTGAGCGAGTGCACGGAGATTGTGAGAAAAATAGAGCACGTAACTCAATTTACGCAATAGTTGGCAAAAAAAAAAAACTCAATTTACGCAATAACATGACAGCGATGTTGGGATTTAAATATAATGTTATATGAATAATTATTCATCGGCATAATTTTGGCAAGTAGGGAAAAAAATCCATGCTTTAACCAAAAAGAAAAAGAGAACAGGTTATTACCGTCGTATCCTGAATTCAGTGGTCAAGCTGGATTCTATGTCACCAACTTTTAATTTGAACAGTTGTTTTATTAAAGATTAAGGGACAATCGGCGTCATGTCTGGAGAACAGCCTGTAGTTTTCCTCGTAAATCTATTTTACATAATACTACTTCCGGTTCTAATTATAAGAGCCAGTTGACTAATTTGAGGAAATTAAGGAAATAAGTTGAGTTAGTTATTTGTCCTAAATAGGTATTGTCTTTTCTAAAATATCCTTGCTAATCAAGTGTATTGACTAGAACTATCATTGTTAGAAGGGCTACTTTGAAAAAAAAATGTATAAATATGAGAGACAAAATAGATTGGGGTCTTATATTTAGAACCAAAATAAAAGTCAAACAGGGTCTTATATTAAGGACCGGAGATAGTATATATATATATATGTTATCAATTATCAAATATATATTAATTATAAATAAATATATAAACATCAAATCTATTACTCCCCATGTCCCATTTATAAGCTTCAAAATCTAGAAAAAAATGTGATCTATTTTATAAGCTTCAAGTTAGATTTGTCTTGATATTTAATATATTTTTTCAATATTGTCTTTATTTACTTCTCTATTATCACTTATCTCCGTACATTTTTTAAAAATCTTTTTTCTCATTTATTATAAAGGCATATTTAGTAATAAAAGTCTATTTCTAACCTATTTATTATTTTTAATTAATTTTAACTAATTATTTATTATCTATAAATTAATTATTTAAAACGTATAATAAGAACCGAATGGTTTACTATTTATAGCAAAACTTATGTTTTGCTGACCTCGTATACTAATTTTATAAATATAAATGGGAGTATTTATACTTATATATAAGAGCAGAACTTATTAAGTCAAATTATTTTACAAGTACGCATGTACATTTTAATAATTAATAATAGCAATATTTATAGGTAAATTTATAAAAATATATTTATTTTAACAAATAAAAATAACAAGATAATAAGTACTCATATTTTACAAATCATAATTTACATTATAAAAGTCTGATATAAGTGTTTGTGGGTGAATTTACAAATAACAAAATAATAAACATGATTTTAATATTTTTAGACATCCTTCATACACGTCTCATATAAACTTTTTTGTCATCATACAAACTTTTTGTTTTTAATATTTAAGTCAGCGATTTTATTTTTTTCTCTAGACATCCTTCATACACGTCTCATAGGCTCTCATACCCGGTGAAAATTTTGGCTCTCCTGGGCGGGTAAACTTTTACAGGAATTAGCCATATTCGAATCAACAATTCTCTTTTTGACTGGAAATCAGCAAATTTGATTGTTTGTATCTTGGGTTGTAATTTAACGATGGAAGTTGGTTCAGGATGGTTTTCACTGTTCATGGGGCTTAGGTTTGAATTTGGACCAATTTGGGCATTAGATAGTTTGAAAAAAGACAAATTTTCTGTATTTTAACATTAATATATTAAATATATTGATTGCCAACTAATAGGCATGCAATTATACTTTGTTACCCATAAAATATATTATTATAATATTTATTTTAAATAAAAAATATAAATTAGTATAATTAAACATTTCATTATAATAAAAATTAATTAAAATAAAAATATTATTTTAATAAAAAATTAGTGTTATAAAATTAATTGTTTTTTTAAATGTATTATTTTATTAATTATAATATAATTTTATTTTTTAAGCATATAAAATTTGTTATTTGATTATTTCAAATATATTATTATATTAATTAGAATAAAAAAAATTACTGTACCAATTTTTTAATGCATATATTACCATTATAAGACCGAATTTTCATTAAATTATATAATGTAAATTAAGATGTAAATTAATTTACATAATATATCAATAAAAAATATAAACTAATATGTAAAAATAAAATAATAAATTAATTATTACCATTCTTCTCTCCCCCCTTTTGAACCAAACAAAGGATATTAAATATCCCTTTCTCTCTTCTTTTTTTTAAAATCAAACCAAATAAGTAAAACCTCCCACCTCACCCCTTCCTCGCTCCCCTGCTCTCACCTCAAACCGAACAGGCCGAGAGTGAAGGCCATTCAAAAGTAAACGACGTCATTATAATAGGAAGCTCGGAAAGGAAAAATTAAAAAAAGAAATTGGATGCAAAGCAACTCAATTACTAACTCATACAGCCATACAACAAATTGCAGAGGTCTGTTTATGCATCAGTTAGCAGGCGAGGAAAAGAACAACGGTTAGATTATGCACTCAGTGGTTGACAGCGACTCGTGATCAGTTAAACTACTCTCCTATCTATTTCTTTCCTTCAGGCAACCAATCAAACACAATGGAACATCTTCCTCTCATCCGTACAGCCCACCAACCAATCAAATAATTATGAGAATACAACCTCCATATGTAGACTCTATTCTTCTATGCATGAGTTGCCGCGGGCTTGAAACAATGAATGTTGCACAATCCAACGGATCTCACCATGTCACCGAAGCTGCCACCAAAACACAGAAAACAGTCAGGTAAACTCCAATAGATGTACAATGGCAGTCGATCATAAAACATGCTCTATAACTAACCGGTCTATGCTATTTCTAGCCTTCTCATGTTGATCCATTCCATTGTTTGCCTTCTCAGGGCGATCTACACTCTTTCTTGATTTATCTCTCTTGTCTGTGCTAGCCCGAGGCCTCTCTTTGCGGTCAGTGCTTGCCCTAGGCTTTTCTCTATGATCAGTACTCCGTACAAGATTTTCCCTTTGATCCATGCTGGCTCTGGGTTTTTCTCTGAAGTCTGTGCTATTTCGGGCCTTGTCCAGTTGATCAGGATTGGGTCCAGGAGCATTTCTTTGACGTGGTGACTTATCAATGGCTCCAATAAATTTCTTGAGGTGCTTTATATATTCCGGGTAAAGCTCAAGGTCGCAGTGATTTCCTCCCTTAATCCACAGGGGCTCATATTTTTCTTTACAACGTTCCCAAAGTTGCTTACCATGTGAGCAATCAACTACATCATCTGCAGTTCCCTGAAAAATAAAAGCCAACGACAAGAACCATCCACGCAGATATAAGTACACTTCAAACTCGTCCCTTATGGCATCATTGTAACACATGCATTTAACACGGACTGTTACAACCTTTCTCATATTCCCTGATAGCGAGCTTGTTTAACAGGAGCGGATGTTGAGTTCATCGTGAACAAATGCCCATTTAGATGTGATGAGATTATTAGTGCTCATCAATTAAACATCTACCTATCGTGTTGGTATACATTTTCAACTTCTTATACTGCATACAGCATATCACATCATTTGCTAACTATGATATTGAGTAATTATACGTTGCAACCGACAAAAAATGTAGGATGAATAAATTTTCTCGGCAAGAAAAAAAGCTGCCTGCAATATCATAATTAGGTACAGCATTTCCCACAGGTGGTATATAAGCTTCCACAGGAATGGTCAGCAGTACTTTCAGAACATTTGCCGGATGATACATCCAACAAATGGTTCTCGTTATTCAGCTAACAAATGAAATTTTAATTTAAAAAAGTTCAAAATTAAAAAATGTCATATACTCTAAGCAGAAAATGCAGACTTTTATGAGCATAACCAGTGGCATAAATTTATCAAACCAGAGCAAAGATAAGGCCAACATATATACAACATTCAGCACAGTGATAGAAGTTTGGAAGAAACATGAAATAGCCCAGAAAACAGTTGCCAAGGGATTTTACTAGTTTGTTTCAAATCCAAAGATTTGGTTATTGATAAAGATTTGGCTGTTGGTAGAGCATGTTTTATGCTATTTATGCAGCTGAGCCCAACTAATAGGATAAGACTTGTTATTGTTGTTGTTGTTTCAAATTCAATATTTGATAAAATACATTTGGCCTCCCTTTCAATTCGACATTTTTATTGGTGGAAGTGTTGCAAGGTTCCTTATCTATATCAGTATGCTCTCAGGTACTTGCAATTGTGATCTGTTTGCCAGAACTAAGGGGTCTTGATATATACAAACGACAAGGACACATTTTCAGATCTGCTAGACGTGCAAGACAGGCAACAAATATTGCATAAACCTCAGTTAGCCATTTGCAGGCCTGCAGGGCACTTAGAAAGTTTAGGTGAATGTATGCAGTAGATGAGAATTATTTAAGCCGAGACACCAGAAACTGGCGCAGAAATGAGGTTATAATCTACTAACCTATATTTGACCCATAAAGACCCTGCCACAGTTTGGACAATCCAAACAGAAACCTCAAATGAGCATCGGCAATGATGAATGATATCCCAACAATTAAGAACCAGATTCATAACCAGAATGCCTCAAAATACTTAACATCCGCCAGAAACAAGAAGTATATACTCACATGAATTACCAGAACAGGACAATTGACAGAGGGGATTTTATCAATATTCTGCGCCAAAAGCAGTAAAGCAGCATTAAAATGGAGTTACAGGTTTAAACTAAGGAGAATTACATAACTCGGAGTACAGTAATGATAAAAAATGAACATTGTTTATCAAATTCTTTAGTGTTGAAAGAAGTCAAACCTTATAAATGTCAAACCAGTATGTCCGCTT